CCACCTTTTATGCAAATTTATCCATCCAAAAAGTTAAGCACCCTAAATAAGGATATCTGTTGCAATCTCATTCAATTACACCTAAAAATGAGGATTCTACAGTGAAAAGTAATTTTTGCCCTTTTGAACAAAATCCCAGGCCTTAACATGCTTGAGTTGAAAGGGTATGGTTTTCTGCTGATTTCTGATTGGCTCCACTTTATACCCAAAGTTAAATGTATTATTTACATTCTATAATTTGATTGGTTCTCGCTGTTTAGGTTGCCCCGTTTATAGAAGTCGCAACGTAAAACCGATAATCGAGGATTCACGCGATGCAACGGCCACGTTTAATATTTTTTGGTCCTAGTGATGATTCTATTGTCCATTCCCAGTGACCTAAATCTCAGTCACATTACTTCAAATCTTAATTTATCAGTGCAAATTTGTAAGCAAATCTCCCTTCACTTTACTTAACATTTCAGAATCCCTTGAGGTACAAGCGTTTAGAAATCCCGAAAAAGAGCGCGAAATCTTAAATGAGCGCGCGTCTTCGGCTGTGAATCTCGGGAAGTGTTGACTTCCGGTAAATGGTAAGCGCGTCTATCAACCAAAAAGGCGGGAGATTCTCCCTTCAGGTCAATGACTCACTTGATTTTATCCAGTCTTGCCGCCAGTTTCTGATAAGAATAATACGTACTGTCAGACATCTTGAATTCTAGTGTAGCATCGGTACTGTAAAGGATAAACCCGACATGGGATCCCTGTGGTGAGATTTCGAAATATTTCATCAACTGTTTGATGAAGTCGATCGCGACTTTGAAAGGATCGCTTTCGACGCTGGTGGAACCATCAAGGATAATACCGATATCTAGAGCCTTGGTGCATGCTAGAAAAGAAATAAAAAATGTTAGTAAGTGAATCTTTTAAGGAGAAGAAGGAAGAGGAGAACGAGTAAAAAACATTTTTTACCAGCAAATGATAAATTTTTGATGGAAATTCACGTGGATGGTTGAGCATGTAAAGCAATGTTTAACGATATCAAGCAATAGAATACTCTCTGGTCAAGCACATGAGGAGCAGTGTTTGCCTGTCATTGTAGGCTGGTAATGAGATTCATGAGATTCATTCAGCTGATTGATACCAAGCAATAGAATACTCTCTGGTTGATAGCACATGACGGGCAGTGTTTGCCTGTCATTGTGGGCTGGTAATGAGATTCATGAGATTCATGAGATTCATTCAGCCTGTTGATACCAAGCGATAGAATACTCTCTGGTTGATAGCACATGACGGGCAGTGTTTGCCTGTCATTGTGGGCTGGTAATGAGATTCATGAGATTCATTCAGCCTGTTGATACCAAGCAATAGAATACTCTATGGTTGATAGTACATGACGGGCAGTGTTTACCTGTCAATCATGCAAGTGATTGATACTAAACGATACTCACGGACTGGGCACTTCTGTTCACTACAAGCCTCGGTTTCCGCAGCTGGTCCCTGCCCCGAGCAATCTTTCCCCTTCCCTTGTGGCTTTGGATTGTCGCAAGTCCTTTCGCGGGACCTTACTCCCCCTCCACAGGTCTTGGTGCAGGATGTCCACTCGCTCCATTCGCTGTAACCACCGTCCACTCCAACAGATGGAGTTTCTAAGAAGAGGAAAAGTTTTGATTCCTTGATACTACAGATGTGAGGAGAAAAATATACATGGACGCATCTGTGGATGGATGGAGGGACGGAGGGACGGAGGGACGGAGGGACGGAGGGACGGAGGGACGGAGGGA